TCATAGAAATTTTCAACTTGTTTCTGATACGACGAGAAGAAAACAACTGACAAACCTTGCTAAAGAAGATACTTCAACTCACTACAAGATACCCAAGCCTTGTTTGTGGCATTCACTTTTCGGATTGTATCAGTCTTTGGAAAGAATGAATACTAGTACTTGGCGGATATACAAGTATTTCTGGTCATCAACAATAATCTCATAAAGTTTTTTGGTCTAAACAAATCTGAAATTATATTAATCACTAGTTTCATATCTGAATTCGATACTCATTAATGGTATATTTTGAAATGGAATTAAAAGATCTGTGAAGATCTGTGAATTGCAGAGTGACATATTCACTCATTTCATTTGCGCATATATGGTTCGAAGCATATGGATCAAATACCTGTAATAAATTACTTTCCAGCACTTTTACAATATATTGATGATTTCCTTTTGTGGTGGCACTTCATTACATTAGGTGTCCCGTATTATGAAATGAGCTTGTTCCATTAAATTTTTTTGCTGAAACTATACAAAAATCCTTTGCAATTGTTATCGATAGTTCCAAATCGATCTCTTTTTCCATCAATTAAACCGCTCCCGTACAATTGTGCTATGAATTGTGTTTCTGATGAAACACAACCACAACATCAACAACACCGAAATAACTGAAGCAGCAAAAAATTAATTGATTTCTGTCACTTTGTGCTTATACTCCCTGCTAGGCGCCTCGCCGACCGCTCTCGACAGCACATCATAATGCACATCTATATGGAAAATTTTATCAACAATTTGATAGAGTATTGAAACCCAAATTGGACGCGGAATTAATCCACATTGATGAGTGAATGGATTTTTGGTACAACGCACAGATAATTAACGTTTTACACTTTAAACAATTGTCAATGAATGCATGGAGCCACAGCGCTGCCCCGCCTACTGCAGTGCTCCACATTAAGGCTGGTCAGCTGCTCAGCTGTTGTTGGGCTGGAGGTGAGCGTAGACTCCATACTAGGCGCTTTGTATTATGCAATTCATGTAATTTTCAACGCCACATGACGCGCCACTAATTAGCGGATATAACAACAATGGATGCAGCGCGAAGGGGTGAGGGGAAGTTTGTATGTTTATGCGTTAATTAATAAACAATGTTCACATGTGATGTAAGCACTTTGTTGGAATTTCCCTTTTTTTTGTTAATTTTATTTGCTTAACTGGTGCAGCAAATTAAATGCTTGAAATTTAATGCCATGATCCTTTGACCTATGATGCAATGGTCTAACCAAAAATGCAATAAGTGCTAGTAGTCGTGTACTAAGTGCAGTTCTTCTCTTAAGCACTTCGAGGACCTTTCGGTTATAAGACTTTTATTTCATTCTCAACATACACATACACATACCGCCACACACATACTGGCACATACAAGTGTTAACCATAACCGTAAATGACAGTTTCGAATTCCTTAGCGTAACACTAATGTGTGTTGCACGTAGCAGCATGCTTTGGAACATAGGTCGATTTGTCTGTCCGTTTGTTGGTCTGTTGTTGGCTTGAAAGCCAACTAAGTAGCGCAAGTAACTGGTTTGCAATCGCATTCATAGCCATAGTCATATCCTCAGCCTCAGCCACAGTAACAGTCACAACAGTCACAACAGTCAGAATCCTCTGAAACTGCAATGAGCCAGCGAGTTTACTGCTTAGTTTCGGCTACTGAAGCGAAGGCTAAAAAATTGTTGTAAAACAAAAATTACCGAACGTGATGTCATGTGGCAACTAAAGCGTGTCATTTTCATTATAACCCACAGAGAAGGAACTCGAGCACGCCAAGTCAGGCTGGAGTTATATCGCAGTTGCCGTTGGTTTGGTGTCGTAAACACTTTAATGTTTGGTCACGGCAAGAATTACGAAACTACAATCATAAAAAAGTGCGCTCACAAAATGTAACGAGTAAAGTTGCACTTGCCGGGCATAAAGTTGCAGGATAAATGTGCTTGCCACAATTTACGAGCAAAAACGCGCGCTTCACAGACGTAAGCTCATAAAGGCTTCCAACAAAACAAAAACAAAATCATAAATATAGCGCCAGCACGTACGACACGAATACCCAGAAAGTATTTGGAATTGATAATAGCTTAAAGTCGGATCAGGTGTCTGAAGTATTCAATTTTTTCAATTTAATTTAAAAGATTTCAACTTTTTGTTTGGTGTGACTTGCTCTTTTTTTCATTTTCGAATCATGAGTATTATCAAACATTATTTCAAAACAGTTATTTACTTGTTTAAATGGCTTTAGCCAACCATTACCAGGTTTCGGCCTGAAGCAGCATGTCTCTTCAGACGCCTCTGCTGCGTGCATACTTCTCCAGTCTCATATATCAAGTGCGGTTAGTGCTTCCTAACTTGATAACTCCACTAGAGACCCGGTTTGACTATTCGTAGCAAAATTTAGATTACTCTTAAGACGAAAAAAGTGTACAGAACATAATAAACGATTGCTACTAATGATCTCTAAAAGACAATGTGACTTAGATTTCTATCTCATTTAAATTGAATAATTCTCAAGATAAATTAGTTGTATATGTTAAAAGCTCTGCTTCCGAAAACGACTAAAAGGCAAATAGATATTTTCATCTCATTTTAAGTGTAAAAAATATTTCAATTTTTATTGCTTCGTTTTATAGAAAGTAACCAGCCATACTCCGGTTTTTGCCTCCAGATGAAATAGGTTTTTAGAGAAGTACTTCTTTGACAGCTTGTCAGATTGTTCTTGGATAAGAATGAAAGATCTTTTAAACTATCAAACAACCATATAAAACACACTCTTTCAACTGTTTATATATTTGTTTGACTTTATATCTAAACTTTTAATATATAACTTATAATCTGCCTTGTAATAAACATTGAAGAAAATTTCCTGCTGGGTTAGTCGAACGAATGCGTGTGTGTGTGTGTGTGTAAAGGGGGCAATGAAGTAAATAATGTAGCAGTGCACGGTAAGTGTCCTAATGAGTATCAACGAAGGAACGAAACGTAACTTTACAACAAATGTGCTATGGGCTTTTGTCTTAAGCTGCAGCAATCCATCAGGCGAACTGCATTATCTACATTCACTTTGGTGTATTTGTGAAATTTATTAGAAATGGCAGTGAATTTTTATGAAACTTCATTTCACTGTTTTACTGCTTCACTGTCCGAATGTTTTTATTTACTTCTACAGCAACAACAACAACCACAACAACAACAATAATAATGACAACTATAATAATAATGACAACAAAAAAGCATCGAAGCAGTTACATTCTTGGCGCATATAAATCTGACAATTGCGCTTTCACAGCACTTTGTAGATTCTGCCTCACTGCCCGCTTGCCTGCCTGACTGCCTGCCTGCCTTGCCAACATACTTATCTGTATTATTTTACTTCTTTGTATTTGCCTTTTTGTTTCTTAGATTTTGTTATGATGATATAAAAATAAGAATCTCATTTACACAGTCGACTGCTTGAACTACTCATGCGACATGTGCAGCTTACTGACTCCGCTTCCTCCTCGCCAGCTGTCATTTGCAAGGATAATATTCAAAATTATTCAATATAAAAATGTGATATTATTTTCAACTTGTGTTGCTTCCGCATCTACCAACGCTACGCTTTATTACACTATACTGATTTCTTACTTTTTTCGCATTTTTGCATTTTTGCTACTCTGCCCTATACCCTCTACCCTCAGCTGCGCGGTGTCATCATCAACCACTATTACCATTTATTTTAAAGCTCCTTTCGAATCTGTGTCTAACTGTTTGTTTCTGTCGCTGTCGCTGTTGCTGCCATGCCTGATACTGTTACAGTTTCTGTTTCAATTTAAGTTCGCTAAGGCACTGTCGCTGCTTCTGCCTCTGCCTCTACCTCTGCCGCTACCACGGTTACACTGCTGTATCGCTGCTATGTCTTGTATACCAGATTTGTTTGTTTTACTTTACTTTACGTTACTTTACTTTACTTTGGAGCAATTTCGTCAAGACTTCATGATGGAAACAATAAACTTGCTTGGTTGGAGAAATATGGCAGTCATTGTTGTTATTGTTGTTGCTGTCGTCGCGTCAGTTTGTATTTTTCTGCACTTTATTGTTTTGCATTTCGTTTCATTTTGTGATATTTTTTTCATAGCTTTTTCCATGGGTTCATACATTTTATTCCAATTTTTATTCGTTGTGGTCTTACTGTAGCGCAAGTAGATATTCGAGCGTACTGGAACGTTGGTACTTTGCTGTTGCTCCTTAAAATTTAAATGAGGACAACAGATGGCAGCTACATTCAGCGCAAATCTTTTTTAATAAACATTTCGGTTATGAGTCAAGGAGATGAGTTCGCTTACTGCTTTTCAGGGCATCACTACATATACATTCATCACCAACAACAACAACAACAACAACGAGCACTAAAAAAAAAAACAACAATAGCTGAAAGCTGAAAGCCAAAAATATAACACAGTAACAAAAACAGCGCTGCTGCATAATCAGGAGCCTCTGTCTCTGCTGCTGCCAGGCATTGTGTATGTGTATGTGTTCGTCTGTGCCTGTGTGTGTGCCTGCCTCTGCAAGACAACAATAAAGTTTCTTTTAATAATTTCTGTTCTATTGTTTCATATTTTAAATTGCACACAGCGCAGAACTAAAAAACTAAAATAAAACTTTAAATGTGGAACTTGTTTGTGTACTTCAAACTGACAGACATACAAATTTGTACACTTAGAGAAAACTTTTTGCAAATGTCAAGAATTATTTAACAATTATTTTTTATGGTGTTTGAGGGTTAGCTGCTTAGTTCAAATTTAAGTAAATCATAAAAATTAAAATGCACTAAAAATTTTTTTAAATTATGAATTGAAACTGTTAAATGCGAAGTGTCAAATTCATTGAATTATTAAATTAACAATTTATTGTCAATTAATATATATAATATATAAAATAAATTTTTAGTTATATACTTATATTATTTGTTTTTTTTTTAATTGCAGATTGAGGATGCAATGCTCATGTTTGATAAGCAGACCAACCGACACAGAGGTAAGTTTTAACTACATTCTCTACTTCTTCAATAAGTCGTTACAAAAGATATACAACAGCTGTATTACTACTCCACTATAGTGTTCACGTTGAGGAGTAACAAGCTTAGCAATTGAGTATTATAGTAAGAACTCAAAATACCAACGATAATATATGGTATATCGCAGAAAAATGTATTTAGTTGTTATTGCATTAGACTGTGATTAGATTAGATTAGTTTAGATTTCAAAACAGGTTGGGAACTTCTCACCACGTCACTGCATCCTTTAAGGATTATTGTTACGTACCCACCATAGTTCCATAGCAGTTAAGAACGCCATAATGTCCTTTGGAGAGATGTTGCCTAATCCGTTATAAGTGGATAGGTAGTGGACAAGTACCGAAGTCTGAGTCTGGCTAGAGTATCACAGTAACACAAAATATGTTCTACTGCTTCCTCTTTTTCGCAACAAAGTCTGCAGCTATCGTCTCTAGTAATACCTAGGTTCGACAGATGATTTTTAACTCCGCAATGCCTAGTGAGAGACGTGTGACAAGTCAGATGCCACTTCTATTCAGCATAAGTAGCTCCTTAGTTCTGGCTTTTGATCGACACGGCATATATTTTTTAGCTTTTGTGCAGGCAATGGTGTTATCCCAATCAGTCTGAGGTGCCGCTCATTAATTTTAAATTTGAAAAAGCTTCATGTATGACCGTTGCACCATGATACTCAATAACTAAATTTGTTACTCGAGATCGTGAACAGCACTTAAGCAAAGTTATAACTCATATCTAAATATGTGTAATACTTATTCTGTCAAAAATGTTACATCCATATATGGCTCTCTTCAATTCATCAATACTTTATGATATGCGTCAATTAAATTTTATTACTCGAGATTGTAGACACCAGTTAAGCAAATTTATGAGTGCAACCAAAATATGTGCTACACTCGTTCAGTTCAAAATATTACATCTCTATATGGCCCTCTTAAATTCATCAAAATGCATTGAAACTTTTATATGATATACATTTTTACCACTTTTAAAACCTAATAAAAAAGTAATTTATTATTGAAAAAATCATTTTATAATTCTATTAAGAGTAAAATATTGCTCTTGGTCAAAGTAAATATTTTTAAATATAATCAACATTAAAAAAACTTAAGTATTTAATCTGCTTTTAACTCAATTGAGTTGAAGTCCTTATATGAATATTAAATAAAATTAATTAAATGATATAATTTTAAACACTGAGGGATTTCAGTTTTCAATATCGATAATTCATATTTTATTTTGCTACTTATGATTTAATAATGATTATTTCATGTTTCAACGTAAGTTTGAGTACATTAATATATTAAACATATGCCTTGAATCCAATCAAAGTGCACAATAAATTGTTTCGAAAAAAGTTAAATATATGCAATAATGAAGGTATGGGAAAAATAAAAATTTTTCAATAAAAAGTTATAAATGAAATAAATAAATTTCTAATTAATACAATTATCAATATATTTTTAATAATATTACATAAAAAACCCATACTTATATATGTATATTTCTGATTTTATGTAATTTCTTAAGGCTTTAAATGCAATAATGTAAGCCCGTTTTTAAAATTATTTTCTTTACCTAATTTCTTGACCTAATTTAATAACATAATCTTCTTAACATAACTCTTGACAAACTAACATAACTCTTGTTTTAATATAAATTTTATCAGAATTCACTACAATATTCTTTTTGCAAGAATCGTTGATGTTATATTATATTATCAGAAATCGATCTTAAAAAACTGACCTGTGACATCACTTCAGTAAGAAAAATACTCAATACATAACAATCAAACAATCCCTCTAAGTATGTAGTATGAAATAATTACTTAAAAACACCTTAAGAACATAAATATTTTTATAAGTACATAGTATTATAATAAATCCTTGATATCATTTAATAAAATAACTTGTTACTTGAGCAAATACGCAACGCATACATGTATTGTATCAACAAGAATAAGCAGTAAACTGCAAATTTAATTATATTCATATATCCTCATAGATACACCAGCGCATTACAACAACAACAAAATATATGTTAAAATTATTATAAAATAATTCTCACGTTTTATTAAATTATAATAATCAATAATCTTCAATCTACATGCATATATAACATACCAAAAACCTATGATCCTTCCTTTCCTTTTGTTTTATTCTGGAGTTGGTTATGGAAAAACCTTTACTCCCTTATGTGGGCGAGATTACGGTAATTTCGCTATCTATCGTGTTCAGCTAGTTTTTGGTGGCATAATTTAAACTTTTAATCCATTTTTTTTTTATTTTTTTTCCGCTAGTTTTTGGTGGCGTACTTGCTGATTTCATCGTCCGTAACTGATCAATCGTCCTGATTAATCGTCCTGATCAATCGTCCTTCTAATCCATCTCGATCTAATCGTCCTTCAAATCCTTATCGTCGCTTGATATGTTGATTACTAAATTCTTCTACATTATAGATTCAGGATTCAGATACAAGCAGTCCTGTACACTCTAATAAACAGAACAACAGTGCTTTTAAAAAGCACTTTTCATAACTATATTCACAAGAATTGTATGTAGAAAATATATTTATTTTGTGCTGATACAGAATTTTTTACTAAATATATTCAAGTATTAATACGAGTGTGTTATATTATTTGGATTTCAGTTTTCGTTTCGTTGGCTATAAGAATATGCCTTGTTTTTGAAAGTCACAAGTACATGATTAAGTTCAATGGTTTTTATATTTTATGACGCCTTTTATATGAAAACACCATCCGCATGATGCGTGCAGCATTTGTGTAAATCAATATAATCATAAAATTCGTAATAAAGACACCACGTAAAAGTTGAAATAGACTCCATTGAATAATTTGACGGCTTTTAAAATGTTTTGAGTCTGCCTGTAAGTAGATTATTGCTGTAGTTTCTTATCTGGTCCTAGAGGACATAATTCATATTGTGTTCCATTGAAAAAAAATGCAATTTGCAATTAATTGTTCCAAGAAAAATTAAGGAAATTAATTACAAATACGAAAGTATATTTTGAACAAACCAACCTAAGGCAATAGATACATTGAAATATCTAAAAATATAAAATGTCTTACATTATTTTTAACTTACAACGATTAGTACCTGTTCACAGGGAAAGATATTTCGCTTCGATGAGAAAATGATCACCGAAACTGAATTATACTTTAACGCCAAATATAAAACAATATTCAAAAGAGGTATCGAAATGTTAGAAAAGCGCTAAAACGATTCTGTTAGTTTTCAAGAAGACTACCTTGATAAATGAAGTCGAATTGTGTTATCCTGTTATATCCTGTTTTGAACGAATAGAAATATGTTTACAAAATGAGATTTAGTTCCACTAACAAGAAAGAAGATGTTTAGAAAATATAATTTTTTAGTTTAAACACAAACATTCTAAAGCTTTAATTTAGGTTGTACTCCTCTTCATTTACTTCTCTTCATTTCCACTATTGATGTAATGTTAAAAATTTTTGATTCTAATTCTCATACGAACTGCTCGGATCTCAACTCGACCGCTCATATAAAACAATCAAGAAAAAGCAAACGGTGTTGATCAATGGAAAAGGAGTAATGTTCCATCATTACTTTATTAGACTACAACATTTTTAAGGACTGGGAACAAATTTGACGTAACTCGGCTAAAAAGTTTTGATGCATCCACTGTCCAGCCCGAACCATCGACCGTTTGACTTTTATTTGATTCGATCTCTTCAAAAATCTCTTAATGGTAAAAAAATTGGCCTACGTAAAACACGTTGAAAATCACTTGGTGAAATTTTGCGCTGTGAATCCACAGACATTTTCACTTATAGAATTATGAAGTTACCCAAAAAATAGCAGGAGATCTGAAGTAATAAGAATGTGCAATATATATTAGATTGAAATTCATTTTCAATAAAGACCACTATTATTTCACTAATGCTAGCCTAATATTCCGTTTCTATACTATCATTTTAATCAATTCTCCATTCTAAGCAATTCTTCGTTTTGCAATATACTAAGTACACAAATTTCATTTTAGTAAGCATTTAATTAAAAACAACTCAAATAACATGTTATTTTATAAAACAGTGTTGCCAGCTCCTTTTTTTTCTGTTTGACAACCGAATGTTGGCAGGCATTGTTGTGTTGAAATGATAATTGGGTTTGGTGACAGCATCCAGAACTGCACATAAATCCACAAACCCTTCATAAAATTTTAATTTATTCTTTTATAGTTTTGCCTTTCAACTTCTCTTTAGCACCTTTCTATTCTATTTTCAACTTCATTTTAGCTGATCACATATAACATGTTGAAAGGTTCTCTTGAGCTCAATTAGGTGAAATATTATTGTCATAACGCGATACTATTTTATGCAGCGCGAATGTCAAACTGTCAAAAATGCTTCAGTGTTATTTTTTAATTCTTCTGTTTTTTATACTTGTTCATCGAGTTTTTTTCTTATTGGAAAAAAATTTAAAAAAATTTTCCCTACGTAATTGTCATGCATTTTTTTTTGTTTTGTTTCAATAGATCTGTTATTGTTACCGCCGCCTACACCACCTCCCACTTCGTATTATTCATCCGCAACGACATTGACTGTTGTTTTTGTTGGACTTGTAGCTGCCATTGCTGCTGCTGCTGCTGCTGCTGCTACTCCTGTCACTGTCATTGCACAGGTTGACAACACAAACGTTCTGTTTGCCATATTCCAAATGTATTTTGTTGTTGTTGTTTTTGTTTTTTACCTTTGGTTTGTTTCTATCAGAGATGTGTGTGTGTGTGATTGTGTATATGCTTGTATGTTTGTAGCAATATAGTACATAGTGCGCCTAATTACTTTTGACACATTGTCACTGTGCTCTTAACACCATTTTCATGTTACACTGTCCCTCCTCATATCTCCCTCATCAAGCATATAACATCGATCTTATTGGATTTGAAACCTTTGCCTGCTGCCTTAACT